TCCAAGGTCACCGGCGGCGGCTGCGGCAGCTCCCCGGGAGGCACCGGGCGGCCGTATCGTCGGGACTGTATCGCCACGGTCGCGACCTACACACAGGGCTTCTGCTGCGCGCGGTGTAATCTTCCCTTTGGGATTAACAAAAAAAAAAACAACAACCGAAAGCCACCTCAGAACTGTGAAATTGACGAAGCAAGTGAATTCCCGAGGAATTATTTTCACCGTAGCAAATGCACTCTCAAAACAAGGCATTGCCTGTAAAGATGTAGATTTAACGCTGCCAAAGACTGTAAAAGAGCCACGTTAGCTTTGAATTATACACACAGTGCTGCAAAGATGTTCTTATTAAACAGTGAACGTGTTTCGCGTAATACATGTATTTTATGTTTTGTTTCAGGAATGCAGTAAAAAACAGAAAAATGATGATACGCAAAGTACATCTGTTGATGCATTGAGTTCGAGTGATGGTTTTGAAGAGGTAATGTTCCTGCTAAAAATTGTAATATAATTTGTCATCTTTTTTTCTTTATTGTGTACCCCAGAGGAGGTTTTAAGTAGAGAATTTTCAAGTACTAAATATAATACTAATCAACAAGCAGTTGTAAGCAACTATGAGCACTTCTAGGCATCTTATAACATGAGAATCAAGAATCTTTTAAAAAGATGAAATAAAAAAAAACCCTTACTATGCAAACGCAAAACAGAAATTGATGTTCTAAAAAAAATATTTTTTTTTTTTAGTGTCAAGAATCTTACATCAGGTCTTCAAAAGAGAGGGCTTGTGAGGAGAAAAGAAGGAGGTTAAGAGTACAAGTGCACAAAATGTCTTATTTTTTATGTTAGGCAAACTTACAGATCATCTACTGTTCTTCAACAGATAAGTGTATCCCTGGGAATGGGTTCTTAACTGAGGGATTTTTGTTTAGCTTTTTTGCAAGTAGTCTGGTTATGTTGCACCTCTATCCAAGTATTCCTTCTTCCCACAGATGAGCTGCCAATGGTATTGTAGTCAGAAGCATGAAACTCTTGATCTTACAGTATATGTTCAATGTAACTGTGGCACTATGTTCTGTTTGTTTTATCTCGTAGTATAAAAGCCAAAGCCATCTGCTGTTACAGAGGCATTTGGTTATTAAAGAGGTTTAATAGTTGAAGTAAAACTTTTTTCAGTTGCTTGGTAAGTTGATGGGAACTGTCAGCTCTGAAATGCAATGCAAATCAAGTTACTACAACATGGACTGGAGGGCTAAATGTAGACCTATGTTTTTGCAGTTTTATGGTAATATTAAGAGCAGATCCATGAAGAAGGATGGAACAAATTATTTTGATTACTTCTAAATAATCTTGGATGCTATGCAAGTGTCATGGATTGTCTTGTTTTAAACAAAACACTGACAGCGTGTTTGCTCTTCAGCTGAGTCAATTGCAGAGGTCTTGAAAATTGGTCAGTTGTTATTAAATTTATTTTTTTTTTTTTTTCCCCCCAGAAAAATGAGTTTCATACATTGGCTAATGCTAAAATACTCCTTAGCGACTGCCTAGCTTGTGACAATTGTATGACATCAGAAGAAGGAGCCAGAGTTTTCCAACAGAATCAGAAGGAGCTCTTTCGTATTCTTAACCTTAATAAGGTAAAGTGACAATAACACACTCTTTTCTGTGAGGAGGAGGAAATTGCAGAATGACTAAGCAGCTCAGTTTCCCAAGGCAGATACTGTGAAGATTTGTCAGGATATACTTTGTCCAAAGAGGAAGTGAAAACCTCAGGCAAGATGAACATTAAAGTACTTAAAATAATTTTGCACTAGAGGTGCAAGATCATGGCACTTAACCTAAATCGTAGAGGAAAGTTACTGCACCTGCAGAAGTAGAATTTTTGGAAAACGTAACTATCTCATTACTGTAATAACAAATTGCTCTGTGGTTCAGAGTTTACAAATGCTCATACCTTTGTTACTAGGACTGTTCTGGGCATTTCTTGTGCCAATGTATCCACATAATACAAAGTTATCAAGGCAAGTTTTTGAAAGTAGGATAGTTTTTAGTATATAGCTGACTACAGTTGGAAAAGAATTTTTTGTCCAAATTCTTAGCAAGCTCTCTTATTTTCTTAGCAAGCTCTCTTATTTTTTGCTGAGATCTGGATTGCCTGGAAGCTAGTTGCTGTGTATAGTGCTTGGATTGTTAGCTCTTGATACTGATTTAATTATTTTAGTTCTGCTCCAGACTTCTGTGTCGTTACTTGGGACGTCAAAGCTACTAGAATTGATTTTTTTTTTTTCTTAATCTGTACATAAGTGTCAGAAACAAAAGGATTCATTACATAGTGATTCAATTTTCGTAGAACTACTTTACCTCTCCATACAGTATGATGTTGTCATACATGAGAAAAAGAGAAGAAAAGGAGAAATTAAAAAAAAATAAAAATCTTTTGGGTCACATGGGTCCTAATAAGAGAGAGCCTGAAGCGTACAATAGGGAGGCAGCTGGGTGCCTTGCTCAGACTGTCAGGGGTCCAAAAGAGGACAGTGAGCAAGGGAGATGCTTTCCAGGCAGTCACAAGCTCTACTTGAAGGGTCATTATACAATGTTTAGGGTGTGTAAGTACAAACTATGGTACCTGACATTTTTAGGGTGAGACTTGTCTGTGGCATAGTCCTGGCTTGTCTTCCAAGGGTTCCACTGATGTGGAAAATGTCCCAACTAACACACAAGATTCATCTTTAAGTAAATGTGACAGTCATCAGAGCTTTACAGTTGCATACCATCTTAGGTGTTTCCAAAGGGTTCTTTAGTGCCTACAACCACTGGTTTGTTGAGGGTCCTATCTTACCAGCTTCCCTCGGCAACTTTAGTGATAGAGACACTGGAGCCTTAACAAAGGATCAGATCTGTAATTTGTTGGATTGGATTTGTAACTTCAGATGCCAATGCTCCTGTAAACATTAGTTTATTTATTAATGTTTAAACATACAGGGTTTTTTCATATTTGCTAGAATTTTTCATATTGTTAGAACACCATAGGTGCTGAAGGGTCTCCTGACTTTCTTTATGCCATTAGGAGACCAACCACGGAATTGTCCCGGGAAGGATGGATTTCCCCAAGTTACATATAAGAAACATCTACAGATGATTAGAGACCATCACTGATGGGATCAGAGGAACATCCTGTCCTGCCCTCAGGAAACTCGCTAGTTGTTTGATAGGGGTTTTAATGATACGGCCCACTGAAGCATAGGACGCTGAGGAATAACTGCAGGAGTGGAAAAGGGAGGGGAAGGAGGGAGCCTTACCCTGTTGTAATTACATACCTCGTTTCCTTTGTTTTTGTTTTGTTTACCAGAAATGTGATACCTCAAAACACAAAGTGTTGGCAGTGTCTATATGCCCTCAGTCATTGCCTTATTTTGCTGCTAAATTCAATCTCTCTGTGAATGATGCAGCCAAGAGACTCTGTGGTTTCCTCAAAAGTCTCGGTAAGTTTGGGTTTGTTATGGTGGTGGAGCAGAAAGGGGAGATTATTTTAGGGTTTTGCTTCCTCAGCAGAATTGTTTGTTATGCAGTCATAAAGCACATCATTGTGCAGGCATTGCGCAATCTAGTTTAGAGTTTGAAATACGTGCTCTGTGGTATTGGTGGCAGTGCACCAGTATGACGTACACCAGTTGCAGAAATGGATTGAAGGCATTACCCTGTTGATAGTAAAGGTCACAGAATAGAAGGACATTGTAGAGCTGTCTTCAAAACCTTCACTACCCAGAAATCAAGGAGGGTTTGGTCATGAGCTTCAACAAGATTTCCCCTTGTTTTGTAACTTGAGGGAGGAGGGAATTCTTATCCTAAATGCCTTCCAGTCCTTTAGACATGTATCTCTAGAAGATTGTCAGTTCTGTTTTTTTCTGTAACTTGTTGTATCTGCCTATTTTATGTTAAAGATATATTTCCTTTGTTCTTTCTACGATATATATACAAAGTTTTATTTAAAAAACAAAAACCACTCTGCCTGTATGTTTGGGAAGGATGGAAAAGGACAGTAATAAAGCTATAAACTGTTTCCTCCCTTACATATGTATATATTTTTTCATTTTTCATAGTTTTTATGCATCTCAGTACCCAGTATATTTTCTTCGTCTAAAAGGAATGCTAAATTCTGTTCGGCCCTAGTTTTCTTAGAATGTGTTAATTATCTATACCTCACTTGCTGCAGGGACGTGCTCAATATTATGTAGGCGTATAGGGAGTATGTTGCTAAATAGGCGGACAGAAGGTCTCTGCTGTGTTGGTGATATGCTTGTGTACCTTTGCAGACAACTCCAGCAATGGAAGATATGCCTCTCAGCTGGATCTATTTTCTGTGGATAATGATACGCAACTTCAGCATGTCTTGTAAAGAATGCTCTTTTTCAGGAGTCACTGCATATAGCCCTGGAGTCAAGAGATCCCATTCAATTAAACAAAAAAACAAATATATGCTGAATGGCAAGCTTCTCATAAGGAAGCAGACAACTAGTTGAAGTGTTGCTAGTCAGCATTAGCAAGTTGGTGGCGCTTTTAAAGCCAAGACATAGAAGATAGCTTTTCAATGTATGGCTTAGTATGGCTCTGCTGGTTGTGAAAATTTGGAGAGGGGAAAGAATATGCCTGCTGATCCTCCAAGATTTTCTGTAGACCTGGAACTTGTAAAGAAGCCTGTGAGATGGAAAACATTCTAGTAATTCACTTTTCCTTACTGCTTTCTCTCATAGGGGTGCATTATGTATTTGACACCACTATAGCTGCTGATTTCAGTATCCTGGAGAGCCAGAGGGAATTTGTGCAGCGGTATCAACGGAGGAACCAGGAGGAGCATGCCTTACCAATGTTTGCCTCTGCTTGCCCTGGTGAGAACTGATTTCTCCAACCTCCTGCACTTCAGCCTAGTCTCATTGGAACTATGGAAAGGGTGGTTTCATTTGAGAGCCTTACATAACTTACAGCATTTTGGCTTTGCTTTTGAGAGATACCAAATATCACACATGGTACTTGCTACCAGTAGCGTTGATCATCCTTAGTGCATTTCAGTGCTTTGCTAGATGGGCCTGTTTTTCATGGGCTGTTGGGAGAGCAGTTTATTTCCAAGAAGCATCATCAGCTTTCCCATATGTGAGGTGCCACAGCCATAAATGTGAACCATGCAGACAAAAGAATGGGTGTGATTGTGCTGGATAAGGCATGTGCTAATTCAGCATAGGGCTTTCCACAGTCAGATAGAAAGGTTGCAGTAAATTCCCTATCTGCATCTTACAGTTGTCTTCTGTTGAAGCTCTGTAAAAGGTGAGGAGTATAAATTTTGTTGTTGCTCAACAACAAACAAAACCTTGCTGTAGTCCACAGCTGCTGATAATGCAAAGAAGCTGAACTACTGATTTCCTGTGCTAGTGTTTATATGTGGTATTTATTAGTCAGTGAAATTAATCAGAACTGGAATTGAGGAGCTGGTGGCTGCTGCTCGTGTGTCCAGACCACAAAGTTTAACATGGTGTTTCCTTGTTGAAAATAATCTTTAAGGAACTTTGCTCAGTGATATAATTAAACCACAACTTCTGATATCTTAAAGTTTTGAACTTGACGCTTAAGCCTCGGGGAAAGTAGCAAGTGACATTACTCTTAATGACTGTGAGATGGTTATGTCTTAACACTTACAAATAATTCTCACTTGAAATGTCACAGACTTGACTCACTATATGTCTCACTTCTGAGAATTTTGCACCTGAGAACTTGCTCTTTTAGGAGCAGAACCTGCACTTATCACAACTGGAAAGATGTAGAACATTTGGTCATTGTTTACTTTTCCCATTTGTTAGCACACTGTCATTTCAGTTTAAGTATGATAAGTCACGTTCCTAAAAAAGAACTATCAAACAGGAGGTAAAAGTAACTTCTTTGCCTAACATCCCACTCAGCTTCACCTTAAAGCTCATGGTGTTGCTTTTCAAAAGGCTAATAAAAATACAAAAATATTTCTTTCTAGCTTTGAAATAACTTAAGTAGATTGTATTCTTTCAAGAAATGTTACAGTGACAAGAGAGTGAGTTAGAGTTGCATTTGATCCCCAGAATATGCTGTTGTCATTGATTTAAAGTTTAAATACTGCTATTTGAATTGTACTTTTGTTCTGGGTATTCTGTAGTGGAAGCATCCGAGTTACGCTTTAGGAACTAGACGTATGTATTAAGAGGAAAAAGTCCTTTTTTTTTTTTTTCCTGTTACTGTTATCTTGGTGTTGCCTCCTATCTTCAGGAGCAGACATACTACATGTTGCTTTTTCTTATGTAAAACTTGTGGAGTTGAAACAACCCCCCATTACTTTGCTTTGTCTTGTTGCATGTGGTTTATTTAAAATTCAAAACCTGAGGATTTCTTTTAGAACTTCTGAAATAATTTTATTTTCTTCATCTTGAATCAGAGCTCAGATTATTTGCTGCTCTCATTAGAAATATTTTTTAACTAGTTAATGGAGCACTTGGCCTTGTCTGTTCTACACAAGATTTTGTTTTCAGTGCTAGTTATGGTGTTAGCTATCTGCTGTGGTATAGATGTTAGCAGCAGCATGGGTGCTTTCCATATCCAGAAAACTGAACTGAAATATCACTGTGAACCCATTCTGAAAGCATATGGTATTTCATTCCCATTGACAGCAATTACAGTAAAAAAAAAAAAAATCATGATCAGTCATTTTTTAAAGTAAGATTGTTTGCTGTGTTTCCTGACTTTATTGTCTGGGTACATTTTCTGTTCCTCATTCTCCTTCCTCTCTCTATCCCCAGATTACATAAATTTGTCCCAGAAATGTTGTTTACTGGGTGTGTTTTTTATATAGCTCCGTAGATATAAGGTCAATGTGAACTCAAGTATAACTGCTTCACTCTTTCTTATCTTTGAGTGTAACTTTCCACCCCTCTGTAGGAGTAGTCGGTGATGTAAAATCTGCCATGAGCAAAACAGCAGAGCCCGTATAGTCCCAGAACCTGATAAAAGGGCATTTTATTGTCTCCGTCTTAATTCTTCTTGCCTCTTCCTACTGCAGTCTTAAAAGAAAGTGGGCTAATTTTTTTTGGGGGGGGGGTGTTTCGTGTTGAAAGTACAACAGTGTAACTGCTGATTGTATATGTAATATCTCTGAAGTAATCGGTTCTTTTCCTTAATTTACCAAATTGGTAAGGAACATGAAGCACTTGCTCTGGGAATGAGCCAGCGTTTTTAATGCATTGCCAGCCTCTGTGAACTCCTAGAACAGGTCAACAGGGCAGGCTTACAGCATTAGTAGGAAGAGCATAACCATTGAGGATTCAACTAAAGTAATTTCCTTTTACAGGACTGGGGGTTTACAGTCGTAAAAGTTTTCTTAGTTTTTCTGTACTTCATACTGTTGCATAACTATTTATAGCATGCATCTTTGTGATCTACTCATGATAAACCACTAAAAATAACATGTTCTGAAGTACACCTGTAAGAATTTATACAGTGATTTGTAGGGGTTTCTTCTTGTTCTTTGATGCCAACACAAGCCAACAAATGGCCGAGAATCTGCATGAATTTAGGAAGGCTGTAGGTCTGTATGGGTACAGATGTACATTGACATAAGAGCTGGGTATCTTAGGCTTCCTGTAACTGCGGTGCTGGAATTCAGCCCTGTCGATGAGTGGGCAGAAACAGCTAGTGCATATGTGAAGGGCAGATAAATGCCTCGCGTTGCTCATTCACCAAGGCTGCTTATATAATTAAACAGTGACTAATGGTCATTGTAGAGCTGGAACTGCTAGACACTTGTTCTGTCAAATGCAAAGAAAGAAACAATTTAAGAAATTGCTTTGGGCAGTACCTGCCAGAACGCTCTTGGGATTTAGTGAAATTTCCTTACATTTCGTGATTACAATACCTAAACCATTCCAATTCTGAAAACTACTCTCATAGCAGGAGTGCTGTGGTGATTAATGGTAATCACAGTTGCAGTATAAGGGAAGGACCAGAAATGCGGCTGAAGTACAAAGCAGAATGTTTTTAAAAACTGCTGTTACTTTGTTTGAAACAATTTTCTATTTTGACAGCACTTGAGACTAAAGCCATTTAAGAAATAGGATGTACCTATCATGCAGAATATACTAATACGGCCTTTGTACCAAGCACCAATAAATTAAGTCATTGATTGCAGGTAATGTCTTGGACTTAAAGTCCCAGTTGAAGGTGGACATTAAACAAACTTCCTATTAAGAGTCTAGCAGTTCAGCACAGTAACATGTAAATCTATAGACCCTACCTTTTTCTGCAACAGAAAGGAATGCTTGTTGAAGATTATGTATGCCTTTGAGATTTTCCATGGAGACCAGTATCTGTTAATCTTGAAGTCTGTACTTTAACAAGAATAGGGAATATTTAAACAGCTGGAGGATCCTCATGTTTCCCTAATACTTATACTTTCTCATTTTCATCAGTAAAATGTTACTACACTGGGAAAACCGCTTCTCTGCCATAGAGAGACAAACCATCTGAACACCGCTTGGATCCCAGTTTTGTGCCGTTGTTGGTCTTTGGCAGTGTTCTGACTTAGACATTACCACCTGTTCATCCATAAGTGTTAGTTTCAAGCTTAAGAATTAACCTACCTTTCCTACCTTTACCTTTCCTGGGCAGCATGTACTTCACAGCAATTTTTCTTTTATGTAAACATTAAACTGTTTGAAGATAAAAGACTTCAGTGTGATATTTTTCACTATTTTTCACTATTTCTTAGCACCAAAAGCAGCATACTTCCCTAGAAGGCTGAGCCTAATATTTCTGCGCTATTTTGGTACCTGGTTCTCATTTTATGTAGGTGAAGCAAAAAGTTCTGAATCCTTGCTGTGAAAGGTTCCGAGCTGTTGTTTTCAGTAAGAGTTACAGTGTCTAAGAAAGAATTGCACACCCTAAGTATCTTAATTTGCTTATTTGTCAGTTCCTTTTCTGGAAGGTGGGGAATAATAGAATGGCTCTCGATATTGGGGGTGGTGTGAATATACATAACTTGTCATAGCTGAAATGCTGAAGGAGTCTGGTGAAAGGGAAGGGGGAGGACTCTAGTGACTAAGACAGAATGTCGAATACAGAGAGATTTCAGTTGATAACTCTGTGTGGTTGAGTGTGAGGGTGTTTCTAAAGAAGGTGTGGCTGCTCTAACAGTAGTAAAAGGCGGCATTTTTTTCAAGGCTTAATCCACGTGCATCTTGTGATAATGCTTTCATGTGACTCTCCTGTTTTACAGGAGGCAAGCTGGGTGCATGGATATTAAATCTCAGGAAACAGAAGGGTACAGTTAAGCAGCTGAACACAGTACATTGGTTGTAGTGTCTGGTGATCCAAGGGCTGGGGTCTAGAAGGTCAACTTACTCTTTGTTAGCTGGGGTCCTGTTCTTTCTCTTTTGTTAAAGCTATGCGTTAGAAAGGGTGTAATAAGTTATGAAGTTCACAGTGGCTTCTAAGTCTAGAATTAATGACACAATTATTGATAGCCAACTGAAAAGCATTACTAACAGAGCCTTGAGGTCTCCCACAGTTCCCAAGGTGGGGCTTCCAGCCTACACAGAAATGTCCTACCTACTGTGAAGGTGTCTTAATTTTTAAAAGCTGTTCTATAACTGCTGCTGCTTTGCGATCCTTATGTGCCACTTCACTATATAACTGACTTCCTGTCATTCTAGGTTGGATCCGGTATGCTGAAAGGGTACTTACTAATCTTGTCACCTCTCACATTTGCACTGCAAAGTCTCCACAGCAGATCATGGGCTCCCTGGTGAAGGGCTACTTTGCCAGGCAGCAGGTAAGTAATTCTGATTTATTTTTACCATTATACTAATCTAAAAAGATGGTCTAGTAGATTTTAATACTGAAATATAGATCTTAATGTATTATAAAGCAATAAAGCATCTTCTTGAATTGTTTGTCCTTTACTTGAACATTAAATGGTGCTGTGCTGCTATACAAGTGCCTGTGATAAGAAGAAGGTACAAAGAACCTCATTTCACGTGGTGCAGTATGAGCTGTCAGCAATCCTTCTGCTCCCAGTGTAATGTGGATTTAGGTTTTTATGGATAAAATTAAATCCAGGGTAGCTAAAGAGGGTCTTGTGAAATGCTGCCTGTGTAGTTCTATAACACAGCCAAAACAGGAGTGGAGGAGAATAATGTAGAAATTTCCCTGTTATCTGGGATCAATAAAAGTATTGTATCTCAGAAACTAACCTTTTTATCTTTTCAATTTTGTATGTTGAAAAACTTCACTGTTCTTCTTACCTATCATACTTAAATTTAACCACATCCACATTGTACAGAGAAGTATTGCTATTTCCACATAGCTGGAGAAAGATTGATGGACTTGCTGTGGATGAAAAGTAAATGAGTGACAGCTAAAAAACTGAATTCTGAAGTCTCACTTGCATTTACTTTCTAAGGCAATCAAAAGCTGCAGAAAATGGGACCAGTCTTTTTTCAGTGGTGCCCAGTGACAGGCCAAGAGGGAATGGGCACAAACTGGAACATAGGAAGTTCCCTTTAAACAGGAGGAGGAACTTCTCTGCTGTGAGGGCGGCAGAGCAGTGGCACAGGCTGCCCAGAGAGGTGGGGGAGTCTCCCCCTCTGGAGCCATCCCAAACCCGCCTGGACGCCGTCCTGTGCCACTGCTGGAGGTGCCCCTGCTCTGGCGGGGGGTGGCACTGGGGGAGCTCCAGAGGGACCTTCCAACCCTCACCAGTCTGTGAAAATGTGGTCTGAAGGAGTAAGTTAAAGTTTCAGCCAGAAGACTGACTTCAGATGTTTGCTGATGCTTTGTGACTTCTGGCAAATCACTTCATCTGTGTGCAGCAGTCTTTAAATTTAATTGCTAGGGATTGATTACTGGTATTACTTGCATAGGGTTTATGGCGCTATTTTCATCATTGTCATCCTTCAAGCTGTCTTTTGCTCTTCATGAAGTTCTCTCTTATGTTCCACAGAACTTGTCTCCTGATAAAATTTTCCATGTAATTGTGGCGCCTTGTTACGACAAAAAACTGGAAGCCTTGCGGGAAGATTTCTACACTGCCTTATATAATTCGCAAGAAGTTGATTGTGTTCTGACATCAGGTGAAATCTTCTTTAAACTTACTATTCATAAAGATATCTTCAAGGTCCTTTCCAACTGAAACCATTCTATGATTCTATGATATAAGTGAATCACCGTTGCCAGACTTTATTTTTTTTTCAAGTCTGCTTTAGTTGTAAGGTTGGCTTTTATTTCTGCTTTAAAAATAAGTACAGGTTTTTGTGCTACTGGTAGTGTAGGTTTTGTATAGGGAAGGCAAAGTGAAAAATACTTTCCTTCCAAGTTGGTATTCATCTGAAAACAAGATTTAGGTATTGGGTTTTGTCAGCCTCTTGAGAAAGGTAAGAGTATGCAAATCCATATTAAAAGTCACTAAGTTGTTTGTCTATGGTCCTGATTTAATCTCCCATGGGATTATTCATAACATCCAAAATGCATGGCACCAGTGGCTTTTTGGTGTGGCTCTTCTCTTTAGGCTTAACGTCCAAACTACGTATCCTCCTTTTTCCTGTGCAGTGTAAAAATGTCTTCCAAACTTTACCTAACAGAAAGGCTAAGGATAGCACTATGCAAAGTTTGGAGCAAGCTGAAGGCCCTTTTCTTCAGGGCTGGAAGTGTCAGGGTTCTCAGTCGCTGGAGGGATCTGAATCTAGTAAGAATTGGAGAATGTGACTGTAACCACGTATAGATGTTGGGATATTGATCTCTTAAACAGAGGCACAGCATGTGCATTTTGCTTTGTGTTGAAAGTAAAATGTCGTATGTTTTCCTACAGGTGAAATTGCCCAAATAATGGAACAGAAAAATGTGTCTTTGAAAGATGTGACTGAAGTAGCTGTAGATAGTTTGTAAGTAGTTTTGTTGTGGATTGCTTGCTTATTTTGATGACAGATAACACCACCTTTGAGCATATTCAACATAAATGTAAAAAAAGAATGTGTTTCCTTTTTAAAGAAGAAAGCTTGCATCAAAGCTTGAGTATAGTAAAGCCTCATCTTTTATATAGTGGCCAAAAAACCCAAAAGTATTCTATTAAATGTTCATTGTTATACATAAAAGTAATATGAAACAGTATAAAACTGTATATACTGCCTAAATACAAAGCAGGAAATTTGAGGTAATGACCTCTATCTAGTGACTCCTTTAAAATTCATGATTTTTGAAGATTTATGTAGCTCCTTATTTATATTTTAATGTGGTAATATTAGATTTGACTATATTAAGTTCACAACTTGCTGGTAAGCGTGACTGTCTCAGGGTGTTCACCCGGTTCAGAGCTCTCCCATGCTTGAGCTTGTATAAAACTGAAGAGTCTCATCTGCCCCTCTGCCCTCGCACAAAGATGCTGAAATGCAGTCATGGGGTTGACCATCTGTTCTGTGCTTCCCTCATTCAGAGCAGCGTCTTGACAGTAAATTTCCACTTCCCTTAATATGTTCATGTAGAATTGATAGAAGTAGAACCCTTTCAGGAAAAGTTAATTAACTTTTTTTCCTATACTGAAGACAGCAGTTAGTTTTTTCAAGATTAGATAAAATTGAAACGTGCTTTAGATGAAAATTGGCACAAAGCATCGAGAAGATTTTGTTTACTCACTGTATGACTGGCTCAGAAAGCAGCATGCATGTTGGTTTAATTCTCAGGCTTAGTTACAAAGGCTGGCCTCGCTGCTCGCTGATCTGTGTTCAAGTGTGACAGATGTTACTTGGTATCTTTCCAAAGTGGTGGTAGTGGAGCAATAAACATGCTTTCTTGCACAAAATAGAAAGCTCTGGAAATTTCTAAAAATCCTTTTCACTTTGGCTTGGTATCTTGCTTGGACCTTGCCTAGACAGGAGAAACGTAAGTGGTACAGTGGTAATGGTTTCAGAGCTGGTTTTGCTCCTGTGATTATTTCTGCTAATGATTGCTTTACAGAATGAGAATTACATAAACCAAGTTTTTAAAGACATCATCACGTAGAGATGGTAATTTATTTTTAAATCAGCCTGTCCAATGAAAGAAGCTCTTACTCAGAATATATCTGCTTTATTGGACCAATTTATGTTGGAAAAAAATGTTAATTTTCCAAAGGACTAATCTGATAATACTGATTCAAGCTTTGAGACCCGATGATGTAGCTTTTGCTCTTCTGGGGTCTTAAAAGTAGATTTTGCAGAGAAATTTATGTAACTTGAACTTCTCTTAAAACAAGTTCCAGCACAGAAGCAATTTGTGGTAGTCCTCAGTATTAAAAAAGTAGTATGAACAAAGTAACTTGTGTTTGAGTTCTCAACTCACTTTAGTAGCTAGAGAATGCTAACAAATAGTAATTGGTTAAAATTAGGAGATATATCATGAAGCAAGATTGCCCAAATTTATATTAAAAAAAAAGTTGCAGTACTTCTTAAGTAAATGCAAAGGCATGGCATAGAGGGGACAGAGATACTAAATTTGTAAACTTCTGCTCTTCAGTGATTAAAGTATTTCTTTGTCATTATTACAGTTACAATTATCAGCATTTTTTTTTTTTCAGTAAGGGGTGTGCTGTGGTAATTTTCCCTTTGGTTTTGTGGTTGAATGCTGTGCCCAGACTGCTGCTCAGGCAAGAGCTAGCAGTAGAGGCTGGGAAAGGTCATGTCTGCAGGTTCTGGGAAGAAGGTAATTAGACTATATCTAGAGAGGCTTTTACATTTAAGAGCAAAGGACATAATCTGTCCATTTGCTAAGATGAAGATTAATATCTCTTCCTGAAACCAGCGTTGCCACACACCCCTAGTGATTTCTGCTTTGCCAGAAAGGAACATGAGCCTGTAGAGCTGCAGTCTCTGGCGATCACTGGCATGCATCCCACTAGTTTATACTACAGCCCCTTGTGCTCCCCCGTGCTCTGTTTTTAACTGAGGCAGAGGCGAACCTCCAGGTGAATGCTGTGCCCATTGGGTATGAGCTCATTAATTTTCTTTCCTGGACTATATAGTGTAGCACTTGCCTTCAAGGTACAGTGTTCTAGCCTGTACTGGTGTGGTGTTATTATAGTGGCATGGTGTTACAGACTGTGACAAACAGTTCCTGGAGCAGAGTTGTTTGTGAGCAGAGGCTTGTAACTTCTGAAGTACTTTTACATTCTCATGGGCCAAAAATGATTTGTTTATTTTTTCTGAAAAAAGTTTCCTGAGCAGTGAATGGCTGTTAACCGAGTCTTTAGGCTGTGCTGAATGTGCATTCTTAGAAATTACTGTTGCTTGAGGTTTCTGAAAATGGAAAGCCATTCATCCTTTTATATTTTTTTAATTTTATTTTATTTTACCATCTTACTAGACAGTTTAATTTTTTTAAATTGTAATTAAAAATGTTAAATTCTCAATCACTGCTATAAAAGTTTTTGGAGGGGAGAGACAACCGAAAAAACATCCTACTTCACTGAAGTGAAGGAATGCAATTTTTGAGTTGATTTTTCTTTCTATTGTTTTCTAAGGTTTGATGAAACAAAGGAGGGAGATGTAGTAAGGCATGATGGGAAGAGATCCGATGGTTACCTGGAGCACATTTTTAAACATGCTGCGAAGGAGCTTTTTGGCATGGATGTCAAAGAAATCACCTACAAAGCATTAAAGTAAGCTAGAGTTTTGTATGCTTGTTATGTAGCATGGGCTAGTTGGTGCTACAGCGAACCCTAATGCAGTTGTTGCTAACCTGGCTCGTTTGCTGGTAGGCATTTACATATTATAAATCGGTAAATTTGTTGCTGTAAAGTAGCTCCTGATAGCTTTAATTTTTATTAGTAACTTGTATGCCCTTAAAAATTAAGTATAATTCCGTTTTGAAAATTCAACCCCAACTTCTTATTAACTTGGTTTAGAAATTGGAAGAGTTTATCCTAATCTCACTGTTACCCTTGTTCTATTCCCTTCAAAGCATCTGAATACAAACTGACACGGTTGGATCATCCCTTTGGTAATGCAGGGGTTTAAAATGTTCTCTGTTATCTTTGTAGGAACAAGGACTTTCAAGAAGTTACTCTTGAAAAGGATGGTGAGACAGTGCTGCGTTTTGCAGCAGCTTATGGCTTTAGAAATATCCAAAACATGGTTCTGAAGTTGAAAAAAGGAAAGTTTTTGTACCATTTCGTAGAAGTCCTTGCCTGCCCAGGAGGTAAGAATAATTGTGGATCCACAGTTGGTCTGCACTCGTATCTTGAATCTGAAAGGAAGGTTGTCTTAGGCACTTGATTTCATTCCCTCTTAATTCTCTTAATCTAAAATGCTTAGTATTTAGTGAATGGTGCAGAACACGAATTACATGTGCAGGGTTGGCTCTAAAATTAACCACAATGTTATTTGTTCTCTTCTGACCTATAAATAAGTGACAGCATGGCTTTTACGATTATTTCAAACCTCGGAGCAAATACTCTGAAACAGTGACTGTCAAGGGCAAGAAAAGACAAGGAATGTAATTAAGGCCATAAAACCATGGAGAAGGCAGAGAAAGACTGTTAATATGGAAACCTCATTTGCATTAAGATGTTAATATTGGAGTCACTTTAAGTCAATACAAATTCTAGCAGTGTGGGGCGGGTAGCTTATGTAAAGAGACAACTTTTTTCTTTAGAGAAGTAAAAAAAAAAAAATTCCAAGCTATCTCTTCATATCAAATCTTCATCACCCTTGTGGCTTTTGTATTTTCTTTTTTTCCCTCTAAGGGTGCCTAAATGGAAAAGGTCAGGCGCAAACTGAAGATGGAAAACCAGATAAAGCACTGCTTAACCAGATGGAAGAAGTGTATGCTGCAATACCTGTTAGACTTCCAGAAACGAACATGCACGTACAAAAGATGTACCAGGACTGGCTGGAAGGTATGGACTCTAAGAAGGTCCAGGAAACTTTGCACACCAAATACAGTGCAGTAAGTCAAACAGCAAGCAATCTGGATATCAAATGGTAATAAATCAAACTTGCAAAAGATTTGCTTAGGTTAGTTACAGATTCAGCACTGGAAACATTCTATGCAATCGCAGATGCTATGCACTAGCCGAGTGTATGAATGAGATGCTTCCTAATTGTGGATTATTTGTGAAGAACCATTGCTTTTTAAAAACAGAAAGAGAAGTCTTCGAAAGCCCTGCTTCCTGCCATTGTCATTTAACTTTTACTGTGTGTAATCTCCTGTGTATGATGGATTTCTTTATTCAAAAACATGATCTTGCAAGGTACATAACACTTTCTGCCGGGAGCAGGGAGTGTATCTCCTGATGAAGCTACTCCCTACAAAGCTACAAAATGGTCTTCCCCAAGAAGGTGAGATTATTTTACTCCTAGGTATGCAGTCCTTCTCATTGTGGGAAAACAGTCATGATGAATTTCAATGCTGTTGCCATTCTTGTGAAGTAACTTGAGATTCATTGCCTCGTTAACAAAAAAACCCTTTACAGGCACAAGTGTGTATATGGAGAAGTGTAATGAATTTATGTATGCCTTCTAGCTAGATTTTAACAAAAACTATTCTGTTCCAAACTAGAGTCGCCATTCCTTACTGATGTAATATTTTGTAAGGAACAGGAAGCTTCCTATAAACTGATTTTGGGAAACTAATACTAAATGGTTATAATGCAATCCTTCATTAAAAAGAGTTCCAAATATGTTGGTTGGTACAAAAAGAGAACTTCTCTTTCCTTGTAAGTTTTCTTAGAAACTTGCAGCTAGGAAGAGTGGTGCTGCTTACTTTGTCTGGCTTTATGAGAGTGAGACATGCATATGCACTGGCAGGTGAACACATGCATACTACAACTTTGCTAGATTTGCTGAGCCAGACTTAACAGCACTTTTATTCTCTCATATTTCGGTACGCATAATAGCAGATTGGTTTTTTTAATTTATCTCCATGCTGACAGAATTTTGTAAAAAAAAAAAAAAAAAA